GGTGTTTTAAAATAAAAAGTTAGAGATGTTTATTTTACACTAAAGAAAATTTTTCTTATATTCTTTTGTTAGCCTTTTCTTTGGTTCTTGTTAGAGAGAGTGCATCTATTGTCAAGTTCGCCGAATCTATTCAGAAAGTGCTTCTGTGTTAGCTAGTTTCGACCGTTGTATCCTGGGAGACAGATTTCGACGTACCTCTAGCATCTATCAAGAAGCGATGAATCTGTTTTAAGGAAATTGTCTAGTGCAGGTTTCGGTTTGCTTCTTTTCATATCATTTGTTCTTAAATTTGATAAATTCTAATTTTTTAATCATTTGTTCTATTAGTAATGTAATTTAATTCATTTCTATATTTTAGTTGTATCGTTTATTCTGCATTTCATCCTTTTAATAAAAAATTATTTTGTCAATTCTATTTAATTTATTTTTTTATATATATTTTATATATTATTACGGAAAAATACCGACAATTTAAGCAACTATAAAACACTACGAACTTACTTTTTAAAGTGGCAAGATACATGTTTGGTTTGGTTGTAGAAATTTGTTTCAATTTTTTTTCTTCTGAAAAACTAAAAGTTAATTTGGTGAAAAAAATAAAAAAAAATAAAAAACACTTTCCATTGGTATATGATTTTATCTTTTGGGGAGGCCATAAATAATTTCTAAAATTATATTTTTTATATTTATTTTTGTCAAACTAGTTTCCATTTTTTTGAAGACATTTCTAATTTTTTTCTTCTAAAACACAAAGCAAACATTGCCTTAGTATTTCTATGTAATTTTAAAATATTTTTATATAATATTCTTTTTAGATATATTTTTATAATATTTACGCATCTAAGTCCAAATTAATAATCATCTATAAACATTTTCTTATCCAATTATGTGATACAACTTCTATATAATATAGATCAGTTTTTTCAAAAATGTAACAGAGATGAGGATTAAAATTGAATAAATATAAGGGTTATGAAAAATGTCTTATGTGACATTGTTAATATTTAAGATCAAATAAATCTAATAGTTATTGTTGTTTTTTAAATTTTATCACAACAATTTTTATTTTTCTTTTCAACAATATTACATACTCATAAAAAAAAATATATGTATATATATTCAAAAAATTGCTTAGAATTTTAAAATTGTACGACAAATGTGAGCATTTTTTTTTTTTGGGGAACATAAAAGTGAATGTGAGCGTTGAATTCATATTTTTTCACTTTCACAAGTAGGGGCTGCACCGACACAGATGGGCTTGCTGTCAACAGGCCGAATTATGATTTTGGGCGGTTTGGAAAAGGAAGGCAAACTTGTCAAGCTCAACACATATGGGCCTGCAGCCAATATATGAATTGGGCTTGCTGCCGATATATGAATTGGGCCAAATTATGGATATTGGGCTGGATTTGGAAGGTCGAAGGTACATTTTCAAGTTCAGAAACAATGTTCAATCTAAAAAAAAAAAGTTGAGAAACAACAAACCTGAAGTTTTGAGCACTAGTTATTATACTATGTGATAGAACGTATCCAGTAGAGAAGCCATTAGTGAGTGGGCTGTAAAGGAGTTGAGTCGGGTTGAGCTGAGTAATAGATTGCTCAAATTTAGTTTGTTTACTACTTGATCTAATCTTAAACAAGTTTTAATTGTGACGATGATGAGTATCTTGATTTTTATAGTGCATATAATCAAGTTAAGCCAAGTAAGCATGTGTGTGTGTGTATTTTTGAAGTTAAGAGAGCTTTAAAATGTGTGCCAATGTTACTTTCTTTTATATCGACTCAAATTTAACCAAATTTTTAACTCATGATCAAATTTGATTTAAGCCCCATTCGCAAGGGATCTGAGTCACCATCTGACTATTATAGTTTAATCGAGAATCCTTAAACGAAAAGTAGACCACGTGAGTCAAAATCAATTTTTTCATATTTCTAATAACATTGACGTCAAAATAGAAACAGCAAAACTAAATTTTAACATTTTACAACATTAAAATGTTGTAATTTTGATCTTAAGAAAAGTAAATGACTCATGGTTGGTGGTTCCGTGGAGCATATAAAGCTTGAAACTGTGCCTCTGTCCAACCAATCAAGAGAACAACAACATTACATATCCTCGTTCTTATCTGATAATGTGGAAGTCAATACTCTATATTTTTAAAATGATTACAAGGCCCCTCAGAACATCAAGCACCAGTGGTCTAGTGGTAGAATAGTACCCTGCCACGGTACAGACCCGGGTTCGATTCCCGGCTGGTGCATATGTTGTTTGTTTTTACTCTCACTGACTATTTATTATTTATTTTTTAACTCTAGTTTATATTTCTTGAGAAAATCTAAATATATAAAAGATTTTCACGGATGATAAAATATGGATCGCTCTTACATCTTTAATTCTTATACATACCACGAGATAAAAAAATATATTATTTTTTAAAAATATAATAATCATATTTAATTTTTTTATATTTTATCTCTCGTAAATAAAATTTTATATATAAATTTAAGGGTTTTGTTTTAAATGTTCCTTTACTATAAGATATTAAAATTGTTGTATTAACAATTAATAATCATAATTATCTCATAATTAATTAATTAAAACTTTAGTAATTAATTATTTTAAAAATTATCATTTTTATTAATTAATTAATTATAATTATCTCATAAAAAGTATTTACATATTTTTTCGTAAAAATTAAAAAAAATATTCTTAATTATCTTTTTTAGGTCAAATTAAATCTCTATTTTTCTATACATATTTTTGTAAAAAGTAAAAAAATATACTTATTTAGCACTTTCTAAACTATCACTAAGTTGATATTAAAAAAATTTACTTTTCAAAATGGCATAAATAATTTAAATATGATTTTTTTGAAATTATTTTTAATTTAAAAATTACAATAAATATTAAATAGAATAAAAAAAAATTTCTTACAAAATAAAAGTATTTGAATAAAAAAAGGTAAGAAATTTAACATTTAAATATGACATTTTCATTTAATCTGAAAATAATTCTAGATGAACAATAAATTATTACCTATAGCCCTCTTTTTTTTTTAATAAAAAAATTTAACGAACTATCACCTTTAATAAGTAAATAAAAAAATCATGGTTTCTTTCTAATTTATTTTAGAAAAACTAACTTTTTAACAATTTGATTATTTGAATTTCTTTAATTGACAATTGGAATTAAAAAAAAAATCTAACGGAATTATAAAAAAAAAATCTAACAAAATCTACCATGTTTAGTAAGTACTAAAAAGTTATGTTTTGTTCTTTTGTTAAAAAAAAAAATTATACTAAAAAATATTATTGTTCAAGTCCTTATAGTTTGAACACATGTATTTAAAACAAATTATATTTAAACCAATAATATTATGACACATGTGAATATTGATCTCATTCTAATTGTAGTAATATATTTTGAAGAAGAATTTAAATTTGAAATTTTATTTTATAATTTAATAAAGGATGCAAAATTTAAGGAATGAATATTGATCTCATTCCAATTATAGTAACATAATTTAAGTAAGAATCCAAATTTAAAATTTTCTTTTAAGAATATAAAACTAATTTATAGACCAATCATATTGTAACACATATTAACAAAAAATTAAACAAAATAAAAAAAATAAGAAAAAAGAATTACAACTTTTAACCTTAACGAAATGACAATATTTTGCAACTATAATAGTATATAGATATATAAATAAATCATGGAATATATCAGTATTTAAAACTTATATATTATGAGATAAATCATTATAATTTTAAATTTAAATTAATAGAATGTTTTTTATATTTAGTGCCCCTCAAATTTGAATTTTGAAATGGATTGGTATAATTTCTATTTTTTATTTTATATATTTGATATACTTTCCATTTGAAAGTCATAAATTAAGAGATATTAATTAATTAATTAATTATTATTTATTTATTTGCTTGAATGAGAGTTATAGAGGATTTTTTTAATTATTTAAAATAAAAAAATTAGAAATTTTGGTTTGAGATATTGAAACTCCCACAAGACTTGTGGTTAAAAACCCCCTTTTACTTATATAATAGATAGATAGATGGATGGATAGATAGATTTAATAAGAATTTAAATTTGTTTTAGATATTTTTTAATATACAAAATATTTTTATTTAAAGTTCTACTTATGTATTCATATAGTTCAATAACATCAGTCTGGGAGTATTAGTTATCTCAACTATTGAATTCTGATTGCGATTGTTTGTTGAGTTTGTTATATACTTCTCACTACAAGAATTAACATATTTGCCGACCAAAAAATTGGTCGCTAAAAGTCCATTTTTGGTCGGCAAAGCATATTTCCGACCAATTTTTTTGGTCGCCAATTTGGTCGGCAATTGAGGGTCGCGGAAAGTAATTCGCGACCAAAATTTTGGTTGGTCGGAAAAAGTCGGATTTGCTGACTAAATTTTTGGTCGCTAAATATATCATTACCGCGACGAATTCATTTAGTCGCTAAAACACTTTGGTCACAAAAAGTGATATTTTCCAGACCAAATATCTTAGTCGCCAATTGACACATTTCGCGACCAAAAAGTTTGGTCGCCAATTATCACATTCAACAACCAAAAAGTTTGGTCGCCAATTGTGACATTCCACGACCAAAAATTTTGGTCGCCATTGTGGCATTCCGCGACCAAAAAATTTTGGTTGCCAATCGTGACATTCCAAGGCCAAAAAGTTTGGTCGCCAAAAGTCAAGGAATTGCCGACTAACAATTTAGTCGCCAAAAGGTAAGGAATTGCCGACCAATGATTTTAGTCACCAAATCTCTCTATTTTTTTTTTCCAGAACATTCAATTTTTGTTTTTAAACATTCAATCTAATATCGAACAAAATTCATTCAACCCAACCACAATTAAGGAACAATAACATTTAAAAAATTAAAAATTGCTCACAGTTTCGGTACCACAATTAAGGAACAAAATTCATTCAACATAGCCAAAGAATTTAACTAAGAAGACAACTTGAGAATTTAACATATATACAAGAGCAATAGTACGTACAATCTGTGATTTGGCAAAAACAATCACTAAAAATTCAATCTCAAACTACACTTTGCTCTCACCAAAAATTAAAAGAACAAAAAAATCAAAGAAAATAACAAGGTATGAGGCTATTACAATCTGCAACATACATTCCAAGGGGGCAACAGTGGAGCCAGACCAGCTTCCAACTTCCAACAGAGCAGACAGATCATTCTAATTGAGCAACAATGGAGCCAGATTACCTTCACAGATAGAACAGACCAGCTGCCTACCTCAGCGAGACTACCAATCTGCAAAGCCCAACTTCCACCTTCCAAATATTGGTGAAAGATTTACCTGTATCTCAGTCCTAATGCCAAGAATAGCCTAAACATATCTGAGCAATTATTACGACACAGCAGAAACCAAGACTGTATTTGAACATATCAGCAATCAGCAGCATAGCAACTCTGTTCAATAGGCAGCAGAGCAGACCTATGCAAACCATGGTTTCAGGGCACCAGAACAACCCAGAATCAACCTCCCTTTTCAGCTCAGATCAATCAGCATAACAGATTTGCTCAACAGCCTCAGCATACCAGCAGAGACCTCAGGGCACCAGTTCAGCCCAGAAACAGCCCAAAATCTGGTCCAATAATCACAAGAACTTCTACGATAAAGCATAATTTGCAAGACACCTATGCAATGTTCATAACTAGTTAATAGTCACATTTATGGAAAGTCCCCAACACATCATTTCATACATTACTTTAATAATCTTGCCAGTAACCCTTAGCAACGAAAAAATAAAAATCAAAGAGCATAATAAAGCACATGCATTTCAAACAGAAGCATGTGTTCACATCAGAATAAAATCTTGCTTACACTATTAGCTGTAATCAAGGCTAGCTCATACCTGGCTGTGAAGATCTGGTTGGCACAGAAGAGTTGGCACTGTTTCATCCCACCATAATCGTGAAAATGGTTTGCATTTTGGTAATACATCAAACACTCAGGGAAAAAAAGAAAAAGATGCTTGCTTAAACTATCCATTTTCATCATTCCTCTTTGTCAATGGCTATATGCTTGCTTAAACTAAACAAATTCATCTTTTTCACTTTTTCCCTCCCTTTGGTTACCGTTTCATGAATATATCCATTTGTAATTCTCTTTCCTTTTATACTTTAATCTTTTACATTCTTGGTACAAGTAGGAAAAAATACCAATCATAGACCCAACCCTTGTGTTTAAGCAAGTAGGTGTTTTGTTCATATTTTAGTATTATGTATGCTGTCAAGCTATTCTAAAGAGAGATTGTTGTGTCCCTTTGGCATGCTATATCAATTTCATATTCCTAGTAGCTGAAATTGCATTTCCATATGATGAAGGTGTAATAGAAAGTTTTCCATTAGTATTACCGATGGCTTTCCAGATGGCATCAGTATTGGCTCCACTGTCAAATCCCTTTGAACAACATTGTCAGCTCCAACAATAATGCCAGGGAGATCTCTGAAATTGCTCTCTATGGAAAATACATCTTAGGACATGATAAATATCAAGAAACCAAAAAAACTGTCATACTTACGTAAACTACCTTTCTTCGTGGAATTTGACAAACTCGCAAATAATCATCCTCACCCAATGGGAGAGGTCGATGATCACGAAGTACTGACTTTTCTGTTATAGGCGTACTGCAGGAAGCAGAGTTGCCTTAGAGTATGGTTACTTGATCCCGCTCAAATTTGAAAATGTTTAGGGTAATTCAATATTTTTCACAAGTTTCAAATGTTGTAAAAAAAACCCCACTAAGATTTATTGAAAATCAAGGTATGGGGACAATCCAAAAGTGGCATAATAGTTTCATAAAATACAACCTTTTTTTTCAAACTACTATCCTAAGATAATGTTACCCATTTTAAAGCCTACACATAATTCTGTCATGGTCACTGTGGGTGGGTGTGTGTGTGCGCGCGCGCGCGCGCGCGCGTGTGTGTGTGTGAGAGAGAGAGAGAGAGAGAGAGAGGAGATTCATTAATGCAATTGTCATCTTCATTAGTTAATACATACCAAGACACTTGCAAGGTACAATTGTCTCAGTTTAATTATTTGAAGAAAATCACTTTCATAGAATCAGGTAGTTTCTTGAACTCAAGACACTTGCAAGGTACCCACCCCCACCCACACCCATTTCAAATCATTTGAATTTTCTCCAAGTATGAGTATATGACATTAGTGATTTTTAACTTATATATTTTCTTACACATGTTAAGGATATGTTTGAATAATTAAATAAAATATATATTTTTATGGATATAGTTTCTCACTAATATATTTTCTTATCATTTTTCCACCAACCAAAAAAGAGAAAAAAAATTAGCTTCTTTTACTTCATTTCCTTTTCCTATCTTCTCTTTTATTTTATTTTCCCTCTGCAAATCCAAGACCCAGTCACAACATAAAGTATATGCTTCCTGTCTCAAGCAGAGTAAATATGACAATATTATTATCCTATGTTACACGGACTCTTTAAAATAGATCAAATACCCGTGTTGGACACCCAACACTCGGACAAGGGTATGGGATATATGTCGAATACTTTTCAACGGATACTTGTTATATAATTGTATATAACACAATTATTATATGTGCATATTATTGTATAATTACTATAAGTCATTTTGACACTGTAAGTTACATATAGTACCATTTTATCTCACATATTAGATTAAAAATATAAAAATATGACATTTTTTTCCCGAGTCCGCGTACCCTTAAATTTAAGATTTAATGAGTCCGACCTGTAGATACATACCCGCACCCATCACCCGTACCCGAGTCCATGTAACATAGTTATTATCTCACAATGTTGTCATAAATTTGTGAAAAATGATAATTTGTTGCAAATTTAATTTACATACAACCATTTTTCCAATTTCATATGAAATTAAAATGCTAAGATAGTGTGAACTTCTACATTTTATTAAAGGAAGAACTTATGGATAATTAGTTCTTGCTTTGACCCCCATTTTATAAAAAACCTGACTCCATAATGTAAATACAAAATTTTTACACAAATATTCATCCATATAGACACATGTTTGTAGAGAGATATGTGATGACCTATACCATCATTAATACAACACATAAGTAGAAGAAATCACAAGACATTATAAGTTGTATACTGTGTTAAAAAATTTGAGCTTAGTAAAATAAAATGGAAAACGAGGAAAGGTAGGTAGCCTTACCAGAATCATCAAAGATGTAGACACACACATGGACTCCACCTACTCAACAAATGAGCTCCAGATATGTGACATTTTCTTGGAAGCATCTTGAGAGGCTTCCGTCTCTGATAATTCACATAACTGCTGACATGAATGGTTTTCCTTTTCAACAACTTGGCTGTGCTTCACAGAAGACATGTCCTCAGACAATTCAGGGTCTGTTAAAGAGGAATCACTTTCCTCTCCATCAACTTGTTTACATGTCTCTATGGCCCACAAATCAATTCTCGGTATGAATATCATGCAGGAACCTAGACTAGCACATCTCACTGCCACAAATTAATAAATGGATATTTTTGAGTATCCTCGTAAATATATCATGAAATCATAATTACAAATTCATGCAAATATCTCGTTCAAACAAATTAGGTATTACTTGAGAGATCAACAGAAATGGTAAAAAAAATCAACAGCATTGTAATAATCATTAACCTCGGAAAAAATCATAAAATGAAAAAAAATAACAGCAAGAGATTTATTCTAAAAATATTTTTTCTTAACTTCAAATCAATTCAAAAAATCACCTACAAAACAACATTGCGATAAACACAACCTGTATGCAAATGCTGCATATAAAACCAATGATAAGAAAATTGATTAAAAATGGAGATTAATAAAGAGGGTTGAGGAAATAAAATATAAAAGAGCCTATGTAAAGCAAATAGTACAGACCATTAAAACTAAAGAAAATGTAGATGCCACATGAAAGGAAAATAAACCATAAAGAGAAACACTAGAACATGTACTAAGCCAATTTCAAAATCAACAATTAAATTTTATACAACATCAAAAACAAAAGAATAAAGACAAAAAGTAACCTTGACATACACAAATTCAAAAACATATGCTGTAAGCAATACTGTCCATGGTAAGCACCATCCTTTAAAAAGATATATGAAGAGAGTTGTTGAAAGGACCAAGAATACAATTCAATAGGTAATGACTCCCAAAAATATATATATTAGCGATGGACAAAACTTAAGAAAGTCCATGGTCTTGCAAATCAAGTTTAAGAAATTAAATCACAAAACCCTACAGCCATCAATTGCAAGGAAGACTTAGTCAGGAATTTTTTTTATCAGTTCATAATTAAGACAAAGAGCCAACAGGATTGGCTAGTGCATGAGTTAAGAAGACCATTCCCAGTAGTGTTCCTATCTATTGAGCATTTTGTCATTGACATGATTATTAAGAAATAATTATGGTAGCTGCACAATAAACAGGAAGCAAGCAAGAGTTTAATATACTTTCTTGGGACATCCTCTAATAGCTTAAGCTTTTGGGACAATTGATTACCTAACATGATATCAAAGTTTCACCCAAAAAAACATGATACCAAAGTTTTGGTTCCATGAGACATCACTTTAAACCTTGCTTGTGTAATTGCCACTACATTTGTTTGTGCACTTTGTTTCCTGTCTATTTGTGCTCCTGGTTCAATTGAATTTATGTTTTAGTCACATGCAAGAAAGGATCACACATGGGGATGAGGGGAGGTGTGAGAGCTTGATATACACAGTCAGGTCATTACCTAACATCCTGAGTTTTTGGGTTATACTGCCATCAATAAATAATAAACTTAGATGCATTTATGCATTATCACAATTAGAATGATAAAATGTGGTTATAAATTGGGTGTTTAACATGAAAGTTCATGAAAAGTCAGATCAGACCAATTGACCTATCCAAATTGGTCAAAATTCGACCATAAAGTTGAAATATTTAGCAAAAATTAGAAAAATTGGAATTCAGATTTCCGGGAAATATGGATTTTTAGTATTTTACATTAAATTGACGAATTTCTAGAAACTCGATTGACATTCAACAAAATTTGGTCAAAATATTAAACATTCAAACTTTTCAAATCTGGCCATAAATTTGGAAACTCAGAAAAATTTGGACTCAAGATATGTTCACCAAATTTGATGTATGTAAATCTACGTTCTTATATAACCATTATGTAAAATAATCAGGAAAAAAGAAAAAGCTTTAGGTTTACAAAATCTCCTTCTAATGGGGAGTGGATGGAAAGTGGAAGCTAAATTTACGATAACATAAGGCATATGGCAACCTAAATAAATAACCCTATGTTGTTCCCACAAAACCAGCTGCTTAGAAGGGTATACTGGTATTTTTTGCACAAAGTGGCTACCCTCATATTCAGACATGTGTTCTCACTCACGCCTGGCAACCCCGGATCTTACAACTACCACAAGCAATGGCCACAGGGACCCTATCATTCAAAAACTGGAGCCCCTTTTTTTGATAAGCATGGCATCTAAAAATCAGTTAGAACAAGGAATTTACGAAGAAGCTGAGGACAAGTTCTACAAGTTACTCCACATCCAAATCTTTGATGTATTGTAAAAACGTGTAGCTTATGCATTGAATTCTACTAATATCAACAATAAGAATATATAGAGTTCTTTAATGAACAAAGTCCACTTAAAGTAAATTTATAATTTCTATTATAAAAATTTAAGTATTCTATACTAAATTATCCAAACCCACAACTAAGCTTTTGACAACATCATTAACCCATCCTTTTTGTTAAATTACCACCAATCCTCCTCAAGGTTAAGATATCAGCTTTTCATGCCTCATGTATGTCAAAAAACTGGTGACTTCAGTTCAGTTACTTGGGGGAAGGAGGATTTTGTGTTGACAAATGACGCAAGTCATACACGTGTTCCAATAACAAGTGATCAGCATCCAGAGAAAGAGAAGGTGCCAAAGAGGCCTAACAACATTTACTTAAGGGAAGAGCAAAAATTTGGATATCAGGAAACCAAGACATAAATAGAGCACAACATAGTAAAAGCAATAAAATAAAGGTACAAAACTCTAAAACTTAAAATACCAGATTTCACACTCACTAAACTTTTGACGAGTGTGGCAGCTTTATAAAGATGAGGAGGCAAAAACAAGAGACGTTCATCAAGATAAAGGGAAACAAGCAATCTGGACAGCGATTGCTGCAGACAAGGAATAAGATGGCTGCGAAGAGGTGAGGATACCACATCATTTGCAGCCAGAGAGGATGGAGGTGGTGCACATGCAAGAGACTCCAACCAATCCCTCTCCTCCACCGCAAAGGTGGGAAGAGGAGGACGTTTACCATGAGAAACTTTCTTTTCAGCAGCAGACAATATTTCTTGCAAGGGGCAGTTCCTCCTCAGGACAATAATGGCTGCTTGGGTACAAAGAGCCTGCAGATCAGCACCAGCAAAACCTACAGTTCTTCTAGAAATCCAATTGAGCACTGATCCAGTGACTGGCTTTGGCCAACTTTGTGTGCGAAGCGAGAGAATAGCTGTTCTGTCCTCAACTGATGGAAGTGGGAAATAAATCTCCCTATCAAATCTACCAGGTCGTCTTAAAGCTGGATCAATAGCATCAGGACGATTTGTTGCGCCTATTACTACAACTGAGCCTCTAGATTTTAAACCATCTAATAGAGCAAGCAAGGTGGAAACAACTGAATTATGTGTCTGATCTTGCTGCCTAGTGCGGCAAGGTGCCAACCCATCAATCTCATCAAAAAAAATTATAGATGGTTGAGATTTCTCAGCAACCTGAAGCAAAAGTCTTAGCTGGCGCTCAGCATCACCGACATATTTTCCTAAACAATCTGCTCCTTTGCGAGCAAAATAGGCTATCCATTTATCACCACGAGCACAAGAACCAATTAGCGCACACACTACTAACGTTTTACCTGTTCCAGGATAGCCATGCAAAAGAACACCCCTAGGTGGTGTAAGTCCCATATTACTAAAGAACTCAGGATATAACAATGGTAAAATAACGACCTCCTTCATGCATCAGATGACATCTTGAAGCCCAGCAACAGATTCCCAACCCTGAAATTGTTTTTCATTTTCAAAGTTTGAGCCTCCAATGTACACAGGTGCAATTCTCAACAAATCACAATGTAGCCTCTTGCTCTCACGTTTCAAAAATTCTTCATCCTCACCACAATTCTCTAGCCATTTTTCTTCTGCTTCAACATCCTTTCGCCAAGCATCATTTAACAGCTTTCTCATTTCCAATTTCATTTTCTTAGTTTTCATTTTTTTTACCTTGTAAAAATAATGACTTCCCTGAGGTTGGAAGAGATACTGATGATTTGTGCAGGCTATGAGAAATTTGCGATGATAAAAAATGCAACCATTAGCTCGTGCACAAGGCTGCAAAGAGGGCACAAGCCAGAAAATGAGGATATCAAAACCCATAAGTTTGAGAAAGTTGACTTGAAACTCCATGCTACAAAGATGACCACAAAAGAAAGGAAAGAATAAAAAGAACAAGAATAAAGAATGCTTTATAATTAAAAAGATGTCGGTAACCAACCAAGTGGTATGTTTTTGTACAACGATCAACATGGCATCCAATTGTTGCCCCTTGCCTCCCACAGCGGGTGCATTTCAATACTCTTCCTCTGCAAAGAGCTGCCCTAACATTTTTTAAGCATCCCAAACCAGCAAAATAAACCTGAAAAACACAACAAATTAGAATGAATGTTGACTGAAGCCAAACCAAAAGAAACAAAAATGTAATTGAAGTGTAAATCAATTCAGGTGGTAAAATTCAAATCACAATTAGCAAGTATACTAAAAAATGTGTCAAAATTAGCAGTTTAGATTGTTTCTTACTTCCTAGTAACAAGGCCGATAATATATTATTTTGGAAAAAGAACCACACAACTAGTATTACATGACAGTAAAGACCTTGTTATGATCTGGTTGCCTTCAAATTGCTGTCAATAAGACAATCTGTCACTAGCTACTGATTACCTTTGATAAATGTGACACATAATGTACAATTTTGTGTAGATATTAAAATGGAGAACAGTAAAATAGTAGGAGAGATCAATCCAATATGCATCGTATTGAAGGAAAGACCAACCTCAAAAATTTGCCAAGGCGCTGATCAAGACTCTTTCTCTGCATCCACCACAATGACCTGTTCTTTTTTGTATCTTCTAAGGGTTGCATTGACGATGATAAGTAATTCTCCTCCAAAATTAGTCTAAAGACTGGGGCTATGTAATCAACCACAGTAGAATCCCAAGGACAGTGCCAGCGTTTGACACAAATTTTGTTTTCAAAAAGAATCCCAGAACCAGAACTTGTATCGTTGTCCAAAGCATCTGATCACATTATGCAATAAATTTTAGTGAATTGAACCTCCTAAACATGAATACAGGAGGAAGATTTACAACTTTTCCAAGTCAAAAATGGAAGAGAAGTTACCTTCTAAAATTGAATCCAAAACTTGGGCTTGTTGGTCTGCCCTCTCAGATTCCGGAATGGACAGCTGGATTGAAGCGTCTTTGTCTGCGAGAGAGGGGAAAATTGGTGGATCCAAAGAGAGAAGAGAAACCATTGTCGCCAAAGAAATCAGAAGAGCAAAGGCCTTTGGAACTGTAATACTCATCCCAGGGCTCGAAAGGCAAGTAAGAGGACATCAAACCCTGAATGCCCGACGAGATTAGGTGACCCTTGGGGATTTCAGAACAACCAGCTCTGCATTTAAATAAAACCCTCCTCTTCCGAGCCCATCTGCTAAATCGCTTCGACGAAGATTGATTCATCATCATCATCATGGGTTGTTGTTGTTGGTCTTTTTCACAAGCAACGGACATGCAAGCGGCGACGAGCCATGTACACACCACGGAAGAAGCCGCCATAGTTGCTACTACGCACAACAACACTCCGAGAACCCAAAAACCCAGTTCAGAACTACAATCAATCAAATCAATTTTTATATGAAAAACAAAAAACGAAATCAATATGAATTTGAGACCAAGAAAACCTAGAAAATTGTCTACACTATTGAGAAATGGGCATTTTGGAGATGGGTTTGTTTGAATCTGGGAGAGATGAACAACAATCAAGAAGGGTATCGAAGTTGTGTCGTCATCTTTTTGGATCTCTGTTTCGAAACCGTTCGAGACGCCAAGTTTTGGGCAAGCAATCTGAGAGGGCAGACCAACATAGACACAGAGAGCGGGCTAGATACAAAAGAGATTAGGGCTTTTTTTTTTTCTTTTTTTTTTTTCTATTTTCCTGGTACAAAACGACGTCGTTTTTAAAATGGCAACCAAATTTTTTTGTCGCAAAAAAAATTCAATTCCCGCCTGGACAGACTTTCAAATTTGCCTCCCAAACTTTTGGCGACCAAAATACCAGATTAGTCGCAGAAAAGGTACCTTCGCCAACAAACTTCTTTAGTCACCAAATCTTAATCAACGGCGACTAAAATATTTGTTGCTAAAAATACTCATTTCGCGACTAATTTATTTTTGGTCGGCAAAATGTAACATTCCGCGACCAAATTTGTAGTTGGTCGCCAAAAGCATACCAATTTCTGCGACTAACTCATTTTTGGTCGCCAAAATGTGACCTTTTGCTACCAACTCATATTTGGTCGCCAAAAATATTGATCATTCGCGACTAATTAATATTTGGTCGGCAAATGCCATTTTTTTGCGACCAAAATTTTTTTGGTCGGCAAAAGTGGTCGGCAAATGTGTAAATTCTTGTAGTGATAGTGTATGGAAGAAGTTGAAAAGGGTGTAGGAGTATGTATAAGAGAAGTCAAAAAAGCTTGTGGGTTTGGAGAAGTCAATAAATACTGAGGTTTTTTTTTTAAATAAAAAATTTAAAAAATTAAAATTGGAATATTAGAGCTCCCACAAGACTTGTGGGTTAAAAACTCCATTTTTCTTATATAATATATAGATTCATATTTGTTTTAGATATCTTTTTAATATACAAATTATTTTTTTAAAGGTTTTTTGTAAAAATAATTTAGCAATCCTATCACTAATTATAGTGTATGGAAGAAGTTGAAAAGGGTGTAGGAGTAGGTATGGGAAAAGTCAAAAAAGGCTTGTGGGTTGGGAGAAGTCATTAAATGTTGAGCTTTTTTTTTTTTTTCAAATAAAAAATTTAAAAAATTAAGATTGGGATATTGGAGCTCCTACAAGGCTTGTGGGTTAAAAACCTCATTTTCCTTATATAATACTAACATATCACCCGTGCTATGCACGGATTGTGTTTACAATTATTTATATATGTGAATTGCGATTTTTAAATGTCTTGTTTTTTTTAAATGCCTTCTTTTTTTTATATTATATTAACGGTGATGCTACGTAGCTCGAATCGTCCCTTCCCTAATTCTCCCGAATTCAAAACGAGGTCGTTTCGTCGTTTTGATTTTTTTTTTTCTCTCAAAAATGCAGAAGAAGAAAAATGAAAAAAGAAGAAGAAGAAAGAAGAAAAAGAAAGGAGAAGGAGGAAAAGGAGAGTAACAGAGAGAGAGAGAGAGAGAGAGAGAGAGAGAAAAATCATCAACAACAACATCATGATCATCATCTTCAGATCTTCATCAATATCATCATCAACAACCATTCAACACATTTTCATCATCAACAACAACATCTTCATCTTCATCATCATCATCATCAACAACCATTCATCATCAACAACATCTTCATCAACATCACCATCATCATTATCAACACATTTTTAGAAGAAAAAAAAGGGGTTGCGATCGATCTGGAAAAAAAATCAGAGGCGGTGGCGATCGGCGACGGCGATCGACCCTCTCCCTCTCTCCATTCTCTCTTCCTCATTCTCTTTCTCTTTCTCTCATTCTCTTTCTCTCCCTCTTCCTCTTCTTCTCTTCCTCTTTCTTTTTCTCTCCCTCTGTTTCAAACATAAGGAGAAAGAAAAAAAAAAGAGAAACTGTCCAAAATGACGTCGTTTTGGGCAGTCGGGGTATTTGGGGAAGAAAAATTCGGGGGGAAAATCATTTTCCTTATATTAAAGTTTAATATTTTGATAATAATCATATATGTTAGACTTTTCAAGGAATTAAATGTCTTTTTTTGTTTATTATTATATTATATTAAAGTTTAAAATTTTGATAATAATCATATGTGTTGGATTTTTCAATATTTTTTTTTTATGCTTGTTCTTAATGCATTAAAGTGTTATAATGAGGGATAATAATCATATGTGTTGGGACTTTTCAAGGAATTCATAGGTGTTAGATTTCAAAGAATTTTTTTTATACTTGTTATTAATGCATTAAAGTGTTATTATAAGAGTAAGACTTGGGGGTTGGGAGAAGTTAATAAATGCTAAGGTTTTTTTTTTTAATCAAAAAATCAGGAAATTTAGATTGGGAGATTGGAGCTCCCACAAGGCTTGGAGTTAAAAACCCGCTTTTGCTTAATATATAGTATAGACTAGCCTATCACCCGTGCTATGCACGGGATAATTATAGATATTTATATTTATTTTAGATTTGTTTAATATATAAATTATGTTTTTTAAGATTTTTTATAAAAATAATTTAACAATTTTATCACTTGCCATAGTGTATGAGAGAAGTTGAAAAGGGTACTGCAGTAACTATACACGGATTGTATCTATAATTTTTAATATATAAATTATGTTTTTATAAAAATAATTTAACAATCTTATCACTAGTCATAGTTTACAAGAGAAGTTGAAAAGGGCACTGCAATAACTATATACGAATTGTATCTATAATTATTTGTATAAGGGGATTTTAAATGCTGATCAGAAAATTTTGACCAAATCAATAAATGCAGGCATGTGGAAAGACATGTGGATTGAAAAGAGTTAATAAGTGCTGATCAGGGGATTTTGACCAAATCAATAAATGTTGAGTTTTTTTTTTAAATAAAAAATAAAAAATTTAGAAATTCAAATTGGGATATTGAAGCTCCCACAGGTCTTGGGGTTAAAAACCCCTTTTTACTTAATATATAGTATATAGTATAGATAGCTTATCACCCATGCTATGCATGTGATAATTATAGATATTTATATTTGTTTTAATTTTTTTTAATATATAAATTATGTTTTTTAAGATTTTTTATAAAAATAATTTAACAATCTTATCACTAATCATAGTATATAGGAGAAATTAAAAAGGCTACTGCAGTAACTATGCACGGGTTGCATCTATAATTATTTGTATGAGGGAATTTTAAATGTTAATCAAGGATTTTGACCAAATCAATAAATGTAGGCATGTGGATTGAAAAAAGTTAATAAATGATGATCAGGGGATTTTAACCAAATCAATAAATGCTGAGGGTTTTTTTTTTAAATAAAAAATTTAGAAAATTAATATTGAGAGATTGAAACTCTCACAAGGCTTGGGATTTAGAAACCCCATTTTCCTTAATATATTTACAATCTATCTATCTATACTATATATTAAGCAAAATGAGGTTTTTAACGGAAGCTTCAATCTCCCAATCTAAATTTCCTGGTTTTTTGATTTAAAAAAAAAAATCTTAACATTTATTAACTTTTCTGAACTCCCAAGTCTTACTCTCATAATAACACTTTAATGCATTAAGAACAAGCATAAAAAAAATGAGTAATGCTAGAGACCCCATGTCACGCCCTCAAAATAATAACATTAAACCCATCAGTATAGTCATGCATTGATATATAAAAGCTCCACTTTCTTCTATTCATCAGAGTTTCATTACCAAAAGTATTACATGTTAACAACAAAAGCAAATGCCTTAAAGGCTTACAGCTTTCCAAGTTAACACTTGGTTACAACAAAAGAGTGCTAACTCATTTACACATTAAGCCCTCGGCTTGAATTTACATGTAATACACCAAAGAAATAAAACAATGAAAGTCCGCCTGCCCCTAGCCTTCCAAGCTACGTCCTTGGAGGTGGCATGCTACCTGTACCTGAAAATGATATTCCCATATAGGGTGGGTCACAGCCCAGTAGAAATACATTAAACCAAATATGAACAATGACTAAAAGATTAGCAGTTGAAAGATGGCCAACACAGATACTTTCTCTTATCACACTTTACAGTTTCATGACATAAAAGTCCATGTTACAATTCATTTCCCAATTTCTTTCAATTTTCAATTTATAACCATGGCTCAGAACCTGGCCAAACAACTCATATGAGACATTAACTCATATTCAGTACTTCCCCATTTCACACAGATAAGCATACTAGCTATATCACACACCAACAGATAAGCATACAAGCTATATCATTACTTCCACAGATATGCATAAGAGCACTATCACACTTCCAATGACAAGCATATGAGCTCTGTCAACACATTATTAGATAAGCATATGAGCTCTATCTATGGAGTCCATCCCCTATCTCCTCCCAACAACATCCGGTTTAGAGGTCCATCCCCTATCTTCCCCTAAACCGTGGAGTACATCCCCTATCTCCTCCAACACAACACAATGCATATAAACAATAATTATACACATCATCACTCAACACATAAACTTAATGTATTCTTTCAACCGTCATACTTAATGACACATTTCAGTGATTAGTTCCAGTTTGCCTAATCATCATGCATTGTCTACAACAATCAAGACTATCCTCCACCGATAGCCCAAAGCAGTTACTTCTATACAGAGAATAAATGCAACAATGGATATATAATCAACATTTCAACTAGGTGAGCGATAAATAATCCAACTACACCCTTTAACCCCTTCCCTTTCCAATTTCCACATTCTCAATTCAATCCCTCATTTCCAACAATTAATTATACAAATTAATCAATCAATGTAATTAGGGCATTTTTCATAATTAACATTACAACCCTTAGGTTCCATTTTCATTAATGTTTCAACATTAATTTCACTTTTCCATGCCAAACATGCATCTAGGTTTTATATAAATAGAAACCCTAACTTTCGTAAAATTACACCAAGGCCCAAACTCTCTTCAAATTACCCAACAACCCCCAACATATCAAAATGCAAAAATTTAAAGACAAAGCTCATAAAGAGGAGTAGGATATCCCTACCTCGAAGTTAGAGCTCGGATGGAGAAGAGACCAAAACCAAAGTGCTCCAAAGACCAA